TCTTTTTTTTGCCCCAGCCGATAGGTCTCTAGACGTTACAGAGAACCCCGAACAACCCAAACTTTTAATCTTCAATACCTCTTTGTACTTACGATCTTGTATCCACTGACTGTCCTGTTAGATTAACCCAATAAATTTCATTCACTCCGCATACTCAATCCTATAGACACCCCTTTAATCCTTCAATTACAGACGTAACTCGATTTTACAAAACAGTCAAGAGTATTCAAACCTACTTCATTTAAAAATCCCGATTCACCATTACAACACTGACTTCAGCAGCGATTGCCTCAGTCTTCCCAAAACTCTACGAAGAAGAAAAATCCAAATTCTATGTCTTTCCTTCCCCGACCCGAAGCATGAAGCTCCTCTCTCTAATTCCCTTGATCTTCAAAAACCTCCAATGAAAACTGAACTAGTAACCTTGCAAAAGCTTGAAACTAGCTCCCTTCCCGATTCCCACCAAAAAAAAAACCTCCCCTTTCAAAACTATATCCTCCCTAACCCTATCCTCTGAATTTCTTCAATCTTTCGTCTTAGATCCGGAATTGGCTCCCACCTCAAGCTTGGATCCGAAATTGGCTCTCGCCGTCAATTTGGACCAAAATTGGCTCTCGCCATCAAAGCTTTCTCCTTCGTTTTTACCTTTAAGAAATCCATTTACCGAAAACAACGTTCCCTGAAACGGCACAGAAAACAGGACAGCCTGAAACAGAATTGAACCCCGTAATCGGGACCACATTGTATCGCCCGACCAATTCAGGTCCTATATTGGGAAAGATGCCTATAGTAACCTGGATGTTCCCGTAATTGGGTCAAATTGGTCCTCGCGTCAGATTGGCTAAGACCCGTAGTAAGACCTGGATTTCCCGTAATTAGACTGCATTGGGTTGACCGGCCAATTCAGGTCTGATATTGGATAAGAAGACCCGGATTGGATTATTGAGATTGGATCCAATTGGCTCCTCGAACCCGTCGTGTGAATTAGTCCTTCTCTTCCTGCTGACTCCCGTTATTGGAATCGAACGGAGCATTTCAGTATGCCCCGACTGACTGTAACGGAGTGACTGAACCTAACCACTCAGTATTTGTACTGGAGTTGGTCGATGCTCCCAATATTCGAGGTAACTGAATATTAATAAAATTCCCCTTTCTTTTTATTTTTACTGTATACTCGTGTTACAACACGACACCGGACGAGACATTACGATTGTCACAACCTTCAAGATGACGCAATCGAGATGAAGATCTTCAAAAACGACATGTTCTTCCTCGAACAGATGGTGAGATACAATGTGTTTGGTATCACGATTTGGGAAGGGACTCTCGATGTTTGGTGATTTTGCTAGAGGTAGGAACAACTCCTGATGGTGTTCCGAATATTCTATTCGAAGGAAGTTACGAAGGCCTCAACAATGATCAAATAACTGGGTGGTCTTCCCGCCCTGGTATGGGACACTACCGATGGTTGAGAGGCCCTATCAATCATCTTCGAAGAGAACAAAGATCAGAGTATGTGGCGAATACAATTCGTCGCATCATAGATTTCCTCAACATATGATGACCGCTCTTCATGGAACTCGTCTCTAGAAGGGGGGGTAATGTCACGGCCATAATCATGTAAGCTAATAATTACATATAGAAATAGGTAGAAGTAAGTAAAAGTAGATAAAAGTAAGTTAATTCTATAATATTTAATATAAAAGCTTCCTAGAAACTTCCTAGACGCTGCTTTGACTTCATAGGTGTCTTTAATTGACTTTTTGGATTAGAAACGTGGTCAACAAGTTGGCCATGTGCCACACATGTTGTTAGCTTGAAGATCAAGCTAACTATGTGGCCCACACGTAGAAAAACTTGCCTTGTAAGTCAAGGCATGTGTCCTACAAAGTCAACACATATTGGAGGTCCTATAGAACGTCGCCACATAGCCCCTAGTTAGATAGTATATATAGAGACAAGAGTGAAGGCTTCTTCACTCTTGTCAACTCCTTTCTTGCTTCTAGTCCAGGTTGAAGAGTCTTTAGTTTCTTGTCTTGCGGCAATAGCCATTCCAGTTTCCTTTTAATATACCTACTTGTTTATATTTTGACTTATTATATCGAGATAGCCTTTTGGTGTATATTTTCCCTCATCGAGTCTTTGTCCTTGACAATTTATTCTTTATTATAAATCCATATAATAATATATAATTTTTATATTTTTTAATTAATATAGCATTTTGCAATGTAATACCATAATATAAAAAGATAATAATATGATAAAAAAATAAGATAAAAATACAATTGATTATAGCACCATTACAAAATTAGAATAGAATCAATGATTAGAGAACATTTTAGGCATTATAAAGAATTAATGAAGGGATACATCTCTCTTTTTTTCTCACTTCTTCAAAAATTAGACATTCAATTGTGAATCAACTTGGCAAGCTTATTTGCCATATTTTTGGAAGTTGTGTCTAATTAAGATATTATAATGTTTGGTACTTGAATGAATAAAAGAGAAAGTATTGGTTCATTGTCTCTAAGATACTTATAAACTTGATAGTGTAGCAAAGAAATATTATACTAAAGAAATCATTTACATCTTGGGTGTGTTGTTATATTACAGTTAGTCCTCTATAATGTACTACTAACCAGTATAACTCCAAGTTAATAACATCATTATATCTTTTTTTAAAAAATAATATTATATTTTAGAATCAAAAAATTTAATACTTCATTAAATTATAAAATATATTGATATTCATTTATAGACCTTATTTAATTATTTTTATTTTTAAACCATCTAAAATAATTTATCAAAAATTTCTATTGAATTGCCATATTTTATAAATAAGAATTAATATATTACTATATATAGATATTATTCATGCTTAAGTAATCAATTAAAATATAAATTTGAAGCATAATATCTTATTTTGTATTATAAAGATAATTTTTTTAATAGAATTATAAAGCCAATATTTTAATTAGGCTTCGGCTACAAGCATATTCTAAATTATTATATGCACATCCATTATGTCTATATACACACCTAAAGCCTCTAATTGGCTAATCTAAATTCCTTCTTTTTTGCCTATACATTAGTCTCGATCTCCTTCTCTTCTTCTTGCTTGTTACAACAAGGGTCTCCAACCTCCTCTTCTTCTTCCTAGTCCTATCATAAGTTCCAATCTTCTTAAGCCTTAAATCTTATTGTTGAGACTCAAACTAAGACAATGAAGAAGAAAATTAGAACTTGCATTAAAACAAAGGAGAAGGGAAGGAGTTCTAGGATCCATTCTAAAACAAAGAAGAGATGAAGGAGGTTCGAAACCTATATCAAGACAAAAAAGAGAGGGAGGAGGTTTGAAACCTACATCAAGACAAAGAAGAGAGGGAGGAGGTTCAAAACCTACATCAAGACAAATAAAAGAGGGAGGAGATATGAAACTTTTGTTGGAATAAAGAAGAAGAGATTTGAATTAATCAATCAAAGGCCTTGGATGTTTACATAGACATAATAGATGTGCATGTAGCAATTTAGGGTATACATGTAACTTAAGAATGATTGAAAGGCTTACCATTATTCTATTCTCTAAATAACATATGCTTTATTTTTTAAATATAACCTTAATTTCTAAATAAAATTTGCAATACCACAAAAAGAATATTTATTGCTCATATACAAATTGGTTTCATTGCTTGTTAAAAAACTAACAATTAGCATTTGTTCTATTCCTTCCTAATTCTACCACTCCTAAAACATATTGTAAACATCTAAATAAAACCCTAAAATTTTTAAACTAAGACTTGGCCAAACCTTAGAAAACTTTTACCAACCTACTCCAATCACTAGTATGATGTTCCACAAGTAGAATCGTGCTCCCCACACCCCTCGTGCTAACCCTAGTCTTACCCCATTATCCTCTATCCCATTATCCTCTTGCAGACGAGGAACCAAAACCCTCCCCTTGCTCTCTCATTGCCGCCTTCGGCACGGTCCTCTCCATGAACAGCTTCAACAAGATTTATGAAAGGTTTACATAACAGTTGACCGCAGTTTAGCGGTCTCGTACATCAATGTACTGTGACAGCACCACTGAACCACTGAATTGAGTCACCACCTGCAATTTACTAGGGAGTCATATGGTACAATGGTCTTATGGGTATTATTTCAGATCTAGCTGACGATGTAGTTCCAGGCGAACATCCTTACTCTAATGCATAAAGTGTACGCTCTCAGTTTTGAAGCCTTCAATGAGTTTGAACTGGGCAATCGACTGCAAACCTGGAAGGACACCATTAGACAATGTTTAGCTGCTCCTGTGTTGGTGATTGGCCTCTGGATTGTCATAACAGGCCATCGTCCAGACACGATAAGAATCCCTGTGGCATTCGTAAAAGAGCTAGTTTCACTGGGTGTTCATCATCAACACAGTCAGCACCTCAGAAACATTGCCCGAAGACATTACTAAATGAGAATAAATTTATGTTCAGTGGGCCACCCTGACGATGTGCTTTTCAATCCAGCAGGAATTAACCTTTAGCATTTTCCTCCCATTACGACGCTCATTTGAGTCCCTTTCAAATTGATCAGAAATGTCGTCGCAAGCTCCTCAATATTTAGCACCACGACAACACCGCTCATATTGTTGGAGAATGAAACTGAAAATAACTAAAGTAGTGGAATTTACAGCCCTTTTTACGTGTGACACTGATTCTCCTCTTACAAGTTTATTCTTTACCAAAATAATGTCTCATTCTTCCCAGCTAAACCTGATTCGAAATTGTATTAAATGGGACGGTTATATCCTACCTCAGACCCGGTACAAAAGCAACATTCTATATAGTATTTTTTTATTCACTACAGACAAAAGCTAACAGATGCTTGCCCTCTGACATTGATTCAACGGCTTGAGGATGGTAACTCCGTGAATGTAGCTGCATGACATCATCCAGGATTTCTCATTTTCCCACACTGAAATCGAGGTGTAGCGATTAACAAACATCACCATTAGAAATGCGTGATCTGTCAATCATCACTTCACCCACCCACCAGATCCCCTTAACCTTGTTGGTTGAGATTTGCAAACCCCTCTTTTGTCTTGATTGCAGTCATGCACTAGGCAGGTGATTCATCACGAGATCATATCTATTATCGTTTGCTAATCCTCCAGCTACGGTTGATCGATCTTAATTAGCACCAACCGAACATATAGGGCAGAGAGTGGCACTTGTGCCGTAGTCCTTGACATAGCTATCATCGCTGCATGTATAATGCTAGTTTTATGAAGCAAGTTTTCACGTCATTATCCCTCTCTGAACTGGGGCCATCTGCCATGGCCAGCATCCGCCAAGCTGCACCTTCAAGCTCTGCTTTTATTCCTGTATGTCTTGAGTCCTTCGGAAGCTCGTGGCTCTCACGTGGATGTACTGGAATCAGGTGCCGCTAGGGCAGCTCATGGTGTTGGTTGAATTATTAGTCCGCAGTTTTCCGCAACTGTAGAATAGCGATTGATCATTTTCGGGGCTTGTGTGACGCAGGGATGATCTTTAGGAGCTTCTTCGTAGGGGATTCGTTGCGTTTGGTGGAGCTGAGTCTCTTGTTGGGCAATGTGAGCTTGGAGCTTGGTAATGGGGTAGCTCTAGTTAGGGTTCTGGCGCTTGAGCGCTTCGCGAATTTCGGTGGCATTATTTATGCTTGCTGTAGTTTCTGTGAAAGTGTTGCAGTGACGAGGATTTTTTTCCTGAGCCATGGCGGAAGTTGGAGGCTCTGATTTGTACTAGCATTGCATGTTAAGTGTTGGAAAAGTAGACAGTACGTTCGCAGATATGCAGAATGGGAGAAGTTCACAGCTAGCATTAGCACGCATCTCATGAGCGATGGTTGGATTAATTAGCCACTGGCTGCCGGAGCATCACCACCACCCCCCACTGTCGGCCCCAGTTACCCGACATCCTCACAAGCTCAATTTTTACCTGGGCATCGTTATTGTAGCGTTTATGGCGGTGAGCGTGGTTGCACTAGTCTGCTGTTGCTACCGCTTGGAATGGCGTCTTCGCCTTCAGGCTAGAAATGCAGCGCGCCGGGTGAGTTGGGGCAATGGAATCTTGACGCAGAATACTGATGGTTCTCACGAGATAATAAGTGCTCGGGTTGGAAAGAAGACCAAACAGGTTAACCATTTCTACTCACTTGAGCGTTTTCTGTGGAGAACACGGAAATGCTGCCGCATATTGTTCCCAGACTTATAATGTGAGCATGATGCGTTAATATCTGAAGCTGCATTTTGTCTAGTCCTCCATTTAGTGAATCAATGTGACTTAGTTCCCTATTCTGTATAATTTGGAAATCTGTAGTTGCAATTAAGAGGTGAACATTTATTGTTCGGTGACTTAAAAATTGTTTTATTTCTTGTGCTCCAACTGTATGCCTAAGCAAGCTTTCCTCAGTTTAACAAGATGTTAAACTTTAGAGAGCGCTCTGGGGTTTGCAGGAGACAAATCTTTCCGTCATGATGCCTGGAGACAGTATTCCAAGTTTTCTTGCGAACGCCAAACCTCATGGAACGTCCACTGATCCTGCTTTTTCAGATTCACATGAAAGTGCAGCGAAGGATACATCCCCACTTTTCGGTAGCGTTGACGATATTGGATTCACACAACAAATGAGGGAATGGTCTCGCTTCCAACCAATGAGTTTCAGAGAAGGAAATGAAGACCATCCCTTACAAATTGGTGGCAATGGTGGCTCCCAAACATGAAACACATTCCATGCATATGTATTTGCAAAAATTGACGTCCCACCGCTCATCTCCAGTGTTTTGCAGACGCTGTGTTTCAGAATGAGGATCGACCATAAGGGATGAGTTATTCGTAGTTGATGAGAAGAATTAGAACACTTTTCTACAAGATTGTGAATGGTATTGGTGTGACATCTTCTGCGTTGAGAGTAGATTTCTTCTGCTCAAGGGAGTTATAAGACTTGTGGAGACAAAAACTCTGGACCTGGATTGCAATGATCTTCAGTGACTACATCTATCTACAGATCTGTAAGCTAACCGTTCCACTCAACTTCTTTCTCGAATTTATTGTCCAGTTCTCTCACTTGTCTCTTGCTTTCATCATGTCATTTCTAAAACAAATCATATGAAAAAGTGGGTGTCTGAATTGTTAAGGCAAAAGGATGAAAAAAGCATCCCTGTATCTCCAAATCTTGCGCTCCCTTGCATTAGTAGGTGAGAGTCTCGATGTTCAAGACACTTTTGATTATTAGATCAGGAGCGTTTGGAATACAACCGACGTGATTGCTGTTCTTTCTTGCAACAGGGTGCAGAAACCTTATGGGAAACAGTATTCAGGAACTCTACAAGTTAAAAAAATATTGCAAAGGCAAATTAGGGTGAGCAGAGATGCTCCAGGTGCCTGCCGAAAACCGGGTACGTGTAAAATAAACAGTGTCGTTAAACAGTAAAAGCTCTTCATGCGAAATAAACCGACTGTTATCTCCTGTTTCTGCATTATTTTTTCCTTAAGTTCCTTCACTTTGCGCCTCAAACCATTGTGTGATACCACAAAGCTACGAAGTTAAGAAGGGAGTATTTTTCTCTTGCAAATTACTAGAGCAGGCTACCCAATCTTTCATGCAAGATTATTTGCTTCACCATTCCGAGAGTGTAGAAACCGCAACCAGACCGAGGGTTGACTGAAACTAAACAGTTCACGCAAAGACCACAACACAAAATTAATAGCACTTTGTTGAGTATATTTAAGGTTACACTAGTGAGTCAATGAGTTCTTAGTTTTTTAATAAGTTAATCTAGCTAACTTCTTAATTATTATTGTGAAAAGCCTGGACATAACAAGCGACAATCTTATATATGATGTTTCGTTTTGATTTGTAATTGAATAAATGTAATGATGTTTTAAAACAAAGTATTGAAAATTTCACCTAATTTTAGGTTTTATAATATATATCATAATTGGTTAGTTGTGTGATCTCATTGTTGGAGTAAACATTTTTTACTATTTTTGTCTTACCCATCTATTAAAGTTATAAAAATTAAGACTTCGTCTATTATTTGAAAAATGAATCAAATATGTACAATTATACATTCATCTTTAATAGAATTTAGCTAAAGAAGATAAATTATATATTTATATGTAAATATTTAATTATATATATATATATATATATATAAGTATGTATAATCTATTTTTATGCTAATATGGTATTAGAGTGAATTTTTTAGATTTATTTTTGAATGTTCTTTATATCGTTTTATCAATGTAAAATCTTCTTCTAAGAATAGAAGCAAATGATATTAAAAAAATGATTTAAAAAAACCTTACATTGATATTAAAAAAAAAAAAAAAAAAAAAAAAAAAAAAAATTGTGAACAAGAGTTAAAACCAAATTTTAAAAAATACGAAATACTTATGACAAAGGTCTCATAGACTACAACATTGGCATTAATAATTAGAATAATAAGAAGAATAGATAGAAGTAAAAGTAAGTAAATTTTATAATATCTTGTGTAGATACGAATTTCTTACAAGCTTTGTAGACACAAATTTGACTTTACAGGTATTTTTAAGTAATTTGAAGATTAAAAACTTAGCCAACAAGTTAGCCATGTGTTGCACATATTGACCACTTATTTTACAAATTAGCCATATGGTGCGCATGTAGAAAACTTACCTTGCAAGAGTCATGAATATATATATATATATATATATTGACATAAGTAAGAAGTGCTAGGTGGAAAATAAATATAGATGGATTTGATATTATCTTATAGCATAGCTTCTTAGAAGTTTAATGAACATATATTTGACTTCATATATGTTTATAGTTGATTGGTAGGTTAAAAACTTAACCAACAAGTTGAGCATGTATTGTATGTGTGGATAACTTATAGTATAAGCTAAAAATGTGGCATGCATGTAGAAACTTGCCTTGCAAATTCAAACACATGTCTTATAAATTGAACACATCTTGAAGATCCCATAAGATGTTGCCATATAGCTCCTAGTTAGATAATATATATGGAGGTAAGAATGAAGCTTTTTTTACTCTTATCAATGCCTTTCTAGTCTTTAGTCTTATTTCAAAACTTTTTACTCTTCTTTTCTTTAGCAATAGCCATTCTAGTTTAATATATTACCATCTTTGAATGATTTTTTAGTTTATTCAAGTGACATAAGAGTGTATTGAATTTCTTTTATTTTTTTTTATTTTTTTTTGAGTTTCATATTTTTAACAATTTGGTAAGAGTGCTAATTCATCATTTTTTTGTATTTTTAAATTTAAAGTCTACACCAAGAAGTTGTGCAATTGAGAGAAGTAAGCAAATCAAGCTTACAAATAAATCCAAGCAGTCTTCTTACTCCAAGTTTAAGTAAAACAAAGATAAGTATGCCAAAGAAGTTCAATGGAACAAGATCAAAATTTTGAAGATTTTTACAATAAGTAAAGCTCTATCTAAGATTGTATCCTTTTCAATATGCTAATAGATTTACTCAAGTTTGATTCATAGATGCACTTCTCTCTAAGAGTGTTCTCTCTTGGTTTGCATATTTGATAGAAAAAGATTTATGCCTTATCTATAATTTGAATTTATTCTTAAAAGTTTTTATGACTATTTTTAGAGAAAGTGATTAAAAAAAGGTAGTAAAAATCAAACTTGTATCTTTATGATAAGGATCACATTCAACCACCATATATGCTATAAGATTCCAAAATCTTACTTATAATGTAGGTTGAAATAACAAAGTTCTTATCAATCAATTTCTATACAGATTGGAAGTTAATGCCAAAGATTTCTTATTGACAATGCCAAGAGCAAACTCATTGCAGCAATTTATTACTCAAGCCATTGCATGCAACAATCAATTCTTTAAATAATATAAAAAACATAAGTTTAATTGGAGAAGTACAAATCAAGCCATGTTGAGAATGTCTAAGTTTACAAAAGCTTATTCATTAAGATTATAATTTATGTAAATTGATACAATACATTTTAAGCCTCTTATTTAGTAAGAAAAAATTTGACACTAACAAGAAGATTTATGCTTATATTGTGGAAAACCTAAGCACATTATTGAACATTATCCAAAAATATAACACAACTATAAAATAAAGATTATGGTTACCAAAGATGATAATGTGTCAAAAAATAAGTTTCTCCAAATAGAATAAGAACCATATAATTGAAATCTTATATAACACTTAGTAAAGATCCTATTTTCTTTTCAAATCTCTCACTTAGTTTTATAATAGAAACTTATTTAGGACCAAAATTTTATAAAGTCATTGCCTTATTATATTCAAGTCCTTCAACTTCTTTTATAGATGAAGCCTTTGTTAAAAAACAAGAAATATTTTTAGACAAAAAAAAATAAAATAATATGTGCATGTAGAAGTCATAGATTGTCATTTATTATCTTTCAGAGACATTACCTATGAAATAGTTCTTTTAGATATAGCAACTAAAGATCATAATAGTTTAGATCATATTTGAAAAAAAAAATATAAATATTCTTTCAAAGTATTGTTCTTATAATTATTCTATTAATATTTAAGTGAGAATTCAACCACCATTTGGACCAATTTGTAATTTATTGCACAACAAGTTGGCTATACTCAAAGAATATATTCATGAAAATTTGGCTAAATACTTTATATGCTATTTTAAATCTCTAATAGAAACTAATATATTATTTATAAAGAAAAAAATAAATGTTTACAAATGTATATAGACTATTAAAGATTCAAGAAGTTCACCATTAAAAATAGGTATCTTCTATCATTGATTTTAAGACTTCTTCATCAACTCAATTAAACAAAGATCTATACAAAAATAGATCTATGAGGAACATATAACTTAGTATACATCAAAGAAGGAGATAAATAGAAGACTATATTTTGAATGAAGTATAGGTATTTCAAATATAATATTAAACTTTTAGATTCACAAATATATT